TTTTATTGTCATGAAATAATTTCACCAACTGAGAAACTTTGGCCTAGGAGGAGGAATTCTTAGGAAATCTTTAAGGGCCTGAGTAAAGGACTCCAAGACCATTTAGCAGGGTGCCTTTCCCAAATAACCTGTTGGGTCTGGTAGATGCTTTGTCCCTCTGAAAAATAGACTAGAACATTGGAAGAGAGGGTGAGCATAGATCCAAAGCATTAGAAAGTAGGAATCTATTCAGTGGAAAAGCTACAAAGTCCTAAAGTCATGAACCTAGATGCTATCTAATACAGGTAAGATTCTAAGAACTGGCAGGAGAGAACACATCACAGCCTATACTTTCAGTGTGAAGCCCCGGGTCACTAAGTCTGCCATTATCACCAGCCTCAGGTTCAGAATGGGAAGGGAGCTTGTAGTTAGGAAAAATGGAAACTACTAAGAAACATCAGGTAGAGGACTTAGATCCCCATAGTATCCCCAAACAGAACTACAGAAGCCTTTGTTGCTGATGTAGTGACCCAAGATATTTAACCCACTGGTGGAGGCAGTATTACCAGCACCCTAATGTGAGATCTGGGCAGTAACACTCCCCAAATTCAGTCGTAGGAGGGTCCAAGAACCTTTCTATAATGCCACCACCACAAGAGCTCAAGTCTAAAGTGACTAGGTAGAGAAAATTTTTAGTGGCCAGGGTGAGTCAAGGGAAAGACAAAATGATATTCCTCCCTGAGACCTTTAGGCATGAAGAAGTCCTTTCTGGAGGTCGTAAATCTTTATATGGCCCTTAAATCCAGCCCTCCTTATCACGTGAACACACTTAAGGGCTGGACCTGGAGTCAAATCTGACCTCAGGCACAAGCTATGTGACCCTGAACAAGTCACTGAATTTCTATTTGCCCCAGTTTCCTTGCCTATAAAATGGGGATCATAATAGCACCTACCTCTTAGGGCTATTGTGAGAACAAAATGATACTGAAATTGAAAGGAGTAAAATGTCAGAAAATTGTGTCACTATAGGACAGAGAAGGGAAAACACACCAAGTGTTGCCTTTTCCACAAGACGATTTTCTCTCCTGCTGCTGTTATTATGGGGAGGTTTCAAGCAGGAGCAAGTAGTTGCAATTCCTTAAGTGTGATTTAGTAGCATCAGGAAACAGGCATAGTCCTAGTATAAGTGGTTTGGAGATAGGCTTGAAAATGGTGAACAAGGCTGTGGGAGAGAAGTACTGGTAGAGAGGAATGTGGATTTCCGGTGAGGCTTAAGGAGAAGTGGCCTGAGAAGGACGATGAGTCCAGGTAAATGTAATAACTAGAGAAATGGCGTATACTTCAAGTGCAGTCCAATAGGTGAAAGTGAAAGTAGGTGCATATAGAGGCTGAGGGCCTCAGAAACCACAGGGCTTGCAGTAGAACAGCTTCCTCTTCATGACTATCATGGTGTGTGCATAGAGGGTTTTGACCTAATTATTAATCCATTCCCTTGGACCTCATCTCCCCAACCAACATGCACTGGGCATGTAGTGTCCCACTAAAAAGCAAGTAGTGTTGGAAGTCTCTACTAGATTTTATCTAGTACACTCTATCTCACAGGCAGCTGAACTTGGCTCTGAGTTTTTGTTTCACTAGGAGATCACTGGAGGTAGATGGATTAGGCACTGTGCAACCTAATAATAACTGTTTTTTGAATGCCTTGTGTAAGGTCCTCTGCTATGTGTCATCACAGGCAGAAAGATATATGAGACATGGTTCCTGACCTTAAGCTTTCTATATAATTAGAGAAAATTAAATATATGTATGTATATATATGTACATACATATGTGACTACACTACAAGATATTATAGAAAAAAATACCCTCTGATGTGAATAAAGTACTAAAAGAATTCCAAGGAAGAAAGGACAGCTCTGGAAGCATTAATAATAAAAGATTACGTAGCAAAAGTGATGTTTGAGCTTGACCTTCCTTAACCTCTGGGTAAGATTCTGACAGGTACAAATGGAAAAGGGGAGGACATTCCAAAGAGAATGGCATAAACAAAGGTAAGTAGGCAAGGAAAACAGGAAAGGCATAAAATGTAATTGGAGAATGTCATGGCTATTTTGGCTGGAGTGCAGGGTTCATGGGGTAGAACAGAGGAAAGTAGATTTGCAAAGATGAATAGATTTATGGAATGCTGAAGCTAGATATTGACCTTGGAGATTAGCTTCCAGAATCAAATATGAAATCCTCTGTTTTTCTAAAGCCCCTCATCACCTGGCCTTTCCTACCTGTACGGTCTTCTTACACTTTACTCTCCTCCATATATACTCAGATCCAGTGACAATGGTCTTCCTGTTGTTCCTTCCACATGATGCTCCATCTTCCAACTCATGCCTTTTCACTGGCTGTCTCCATGACCAAAATGCTTTCCCTCTTCACCTCTGCCTCATGGCTTCCCTGCCTTCCCTGCCTTTTCTTTTTTTAAAGAGTCAGCTTAAATTCTATCTTCTACAAGAGGCCTTCTGGTCCCTCCCCTCTCACATCTCCACTTCCCCTTTACCTCTGAGATTATCTTCCATTTACACGGTATGTATCTTATATGCATGTTGTTGTTTGCATCTTGTCTTCCCCATTAGATGAGCTCCTGAAGAGCAGAGACTGGTTTTTTGCCTTTCTTTGTAGCCTCAGCTCTTAGTACAATGCCTGGCACATAAAAAGTGCTTAATAAATGTTATTGACCGACTTAGAGATCACTTAGTCCAGTTGATTCGTTTTAAAGATGAGGGAATCAAGATCATGATGGTGTACATTCACCCTAAATCACCTTTCTTGTTTGTTTTTAAGTTCTTTGTGGCCTTGTGTGATGTTTTGTATCAAAAGGAGGCCAGGGGTGGGGGAGGAAAGGAGAAAAACTAGTTTTATAAAAAATCATATTTGTTATATTCCTTTGCAAAATAGACCACAGAAATGCCATTAATTTGATGTCTGGATTTGCAAAGTGAGTAGCTTGGATTTTAGGGCAGTACAGATATCAAGGGGAACTGATTAGTGTTGAGATGAATGCCTGTCAATTCAGCTATGTGATAAGTATTCATAGCCATGCTATGACCATGGCACCATATGTAGATGTATTTCTTAACTGCTCTACTACTATCCCTGGGATATTCTAGCATATTTCTGGTGGTCAACCACTTTTCAAGACAGTGTCCCTTGATCCTCAAACTGACATCCATTTTACAGATGGTCTGGCAGTTTTGAAGGTAATATTACACAGACTTTTGGCACAAATCTTCTCAGAACTGGGGCTTCAACTCATGGCCAAGTTTTGGAGAAGAGTTTAGTCAATAAGCAAATAGACAAGGCAAAATATGAAACAATTTTTTTTTCAGTTTCTCTCTATGCCTGAAGCAGGGCTATGAATTCTACACTGCATTAAACTCAGCCTTATGGATCATTCATCAGTCACACTTGTCTTAGGCTAAACATCTCACCTCTGCTTAATGAAAGTGCTAAAGAATAAAGATGCCTGATTTGGATAGGTAAAAGAAACTCCTTCAGACCTGGTCTTACAAGCTCCAGAGTAGAGGAGATGACAAGGAGATAAATGAAGGATCTGAGGCTTCCTTTCCTGAAATAGGAAACAAGATATAACTGGTATATAAGCATTTATTATTATAGTATACCTGTGACATTGGACAAGCAGTACGATCAGTTCCATTGCAACACTTATTTTGAAAATGCAAATTTGTTTTTAACAGGATTGATGTATTAGGGAATAGTTTGAGCACTAGAATTTTGTTTATGTATTATTTGGTCATCAAGGTCACACAGGTTGCGGTGGCAAAATATGCATTGGAGGTCAACCTCTACAGACCAATTTGGGGAAGGGAGATGCCAGCATATAACGGGGCCTGTGGAAAGAAGAAATCCCTGGTTCCACTTGAGAGTCCCCTAGGATGCAGTGAGAGCTACTGAGGTGGGGTGTGGTATGACATTGGAGGAGGGAAATGGGGGCCTGGAGAGGCAGACACAGAAGTGAAGGGAAGTCAAGGAGACTCCCAACTTACCTTCACCTAAAACAGTGACTTTGACTCCCATCACCCCTGAGTGACTTAGCCGAGGAAAAGCTGGACCTGAGGCCCACGACATCCTTGGAAATGGGTCTGGCACTGTTGAGGGGTGGGCCATGGTACCTCACAGGAGAGGCTGTGCCAATCCCAATTTTAATTATAGTCAATGATTAGTGACCTGGCATGATTAGTGACCCAGACCTCACAATGGGGTTTCTTCATGTCATAGCAAGTCCCTGGCTTCCCTGGGACCAAGTTTGACTGTTGTACCTCTCACTCCATTTTCCCTATGAGCTCTGTGGGTATTACTGTACGATTTTGCACACTGGGTGGTTTTTATTAGTGTATCTGTCTCATGATAGCAGAATTACTTGCATCTGAGGAACATTTATTGTGGGCAATGGCTCAAACTAGTCACCTAGTTTGATGGATCTACTGTCTTTTATATATTTCAAATCTGTATGTCAGCAAGAATTTCCACAGTAATAGGAGCCATGGGTGTCCATTAAGTAACACAAAGAGAAGTATGAGGCGAATGAGATCTTGGATTGTTAGAGGAAGAGGCGACATTCATTAGCTCATCAGGTGAGCAATAGACCTGAGTTTTGGACTTGAGAAGGGGAGAATATGCACATGCCAGCTCTGATGCCCCATTTTTGTCCAAAGCATTCAAAGAAGATCTATCTAGTCCATCAAAGGGGAGGGAGGACGTGGGGGAAAGGACTAAAAGTAGGTGATCTCAGCAGCAGGCAAGGACATGAATCATTAAGCCCCTGATGTACCCTAGATGAATCAGGGAGTGAGAGGTGCACTAGGCCTAGATGTAGCCTGGGCTAGGGAGGAGCAACAGTTAGGAATCCTTCTGCAAATAGGGTAGTGATTAACCATGGGGGTGTTAATCTCAGGTTTCATTGCCATAAAGCCACTCAGGTTGTGAAACTGGCCAAGGCCATTCTGCAGCTGAAGAGCAAGGTACAGCATGCATGCTCAGGACAGTTGGTAGGTGTCTGTGACAGTGAGCCAGTGTGTTGGGGATTTCCTTGGTTCCCATTTTTGTGACTGTTTTCTGTGGGTCTCTTCATAGGCTGTTTATATCAATGACATGGGTACATGGATCTGGACAGGAAAAAAGATCTGATTCCTATAAAACCACAGTTAAAGGAAGTAGAGCATGGCAGCAGGGCCACATGAGTTATAGAAAGAAGGGGATCCAGATTGCTGTCAGTTCATCAATGAGGGAGTGTGATTCACATTTGTGTAAAGCAGTGGTTCCCAAAGTGCCAACTGACTTATTTTCCCTGGATCCGTGTGAGTAAGTAACATAGAACTCAGGGCAATGCAGACACTCAGGAAAACTGACCAATGATACAACACCAGAGCTAACCATAAGTGTATGAGTGGACTGCCGCAAGAGCTACATGTCCCCACTAATGGTGGTCTTCAAGTGGAGCCTGAATATCTCTTTGATTGTGATGTTTTAGAGGAGAAGCTCTGCTTAGGACAAGTGGTACTAGATGACTCTCAGCTCCTTTCTAATTCTTTGCTGCTTAATTTTATGACATAAGAGCTTTCAGACTCAAGGGAAATGCCTATGTCGAAGAAAGCTTCTGAATGAAGCCTTTGCCTTTTGCCTGTAACAGAAGCACCCACCCACATGTAGGACAGTCCTACATGTATCTAGGCTCAGCGTGCTAACAACTCCGTTACTCCAGAGTCCTAGGGTTGTTAGTCAGTCATACATGGCTCTCTCCTCACCCTCACAACCCATTCTACTGGAAACTCCTCTTTCTTCCCTCTTAAATCCAGCATGTTATTAGCAAATCATTTAACTCTTTTAAGGTTTTGAAAGAAAAATGGTTTAATTTTAAAAAGCCTGGTGAGCTCAACTGTAGAGCCATAGAAACAGAAACTACAGTAAATCTCAATACCCACCCTTAGGGGTGAGGCTCCATATCTTTGCTTACCCTTCTGCTCCTAAACTACAAGAGAAAAAATAAGAAGTTCATTTGTTTAATATAAACTTCCCATCTCTATACACTACAGGGGCAGAGGATGTTATCAGTATTTTACAGCAAGATGGCAATTGTAGGACTTCAGTCCTTGTGCCAGTAATGTTTCCTTTCCCCACTTCTTTTTCCCCAAACTACCTAGCATCCTTGAAGACCCAAGCTCCAATCACACCTTCAGCAGGAGGTCTTTCCCTTCCATCCAGCTGCTAGTGCTTCCCCCTCTGAGGTTGCCTTCCAACTACTCTATATTACCTAATTATGTACCTGCTGTCACCCCCATTAGAATGTGAGATCCTTGAGGGCAGGGAATTGTTTATTTATTTATTTTCCTATGTAGTTCCATAACCTAACATGGAGCTTGACATATAACAATAAATACTTGTTGGTGGATTGATTGATTCAGTATATTACAGAAGTTTCCCTGACCTTCCTAGGTGTAGCCACTGGGTGAACATGCCTTCAGGACCATTCTCTGGATTTTTCTGTTATGGTCCCAGAAACACCAGTCCTCCCAGTTTGATCTTAGCACAGAATAGCAAAGGAGCAAACCATGGGGACATTTTTTTTAAAAAAATATGGATTTATAAGGAACTAGGTCTCGTGCTTTTGTATTGGATATCATTTGCCATTTTTTAAAGCTTTTCTTTTTAATGAACCCCTCATTAAATGTGTAGGACATGATCCCTGAAGGGCATGTCAGAAAAGGCTGGCAGAATGCAGGGGAGTGAAGGGATCAGCACCTCCAGTGTTTGCAGGCTGAGGCCAAAGTTCCTAGCTTGCCTAGAACTCCTGCTTCTCACCTTCTTTCTTCTCCATTGTAACCTTACTGTCCTGAACCTATTTGCTGTCTCATTTTCTCCTGGTCCATGAATCTAGGTTTATCAATGGTAGGTATTACCCAGAGACTCCAGAGCCATACCCATTTAGATAGGCCTTTCTTGCCAGCCTTCTAGAAGGTGTGCCCATGCTAGAAATCTTGACCTTTGATGCCAGGGACAAGTGAAATCACAACTAGAACAGGGATAATAATAATAATAGCTGTTGAATTACTTGAGTTTACCAAGTCCAACAGTAACCAGTAGGAAGTTTTCACTTAGAAAACGTTTTCTCCCTTTAATTCAAATAAAGATTCAGAATCAAACCATGCTTAAATCGCTCAATTAGTTTTCATTAGATTTTTGTATTTCTGAATTATTGAAAATCTTCTCAGCCATATTGTTCTTCCTGATGACCATGAATACTACAAACAGTAAAACCACCCTCTGAAAGCATGTTATTGATCCATAAATAAGCAAGCAACCACCACCCACATCCAAATGTCCCATTTTACACTCCCTCTAATTACAGGTTATGCTTTTGTATTCTTTATTTAAACAATGAATTGCCTGGCAATAAGATAGCTTATAAATAGTTTTAGAAACCAGCTAGAAAACAGCTTTCTTTTCCAACTTTCTATGTTAAAATATATCACGTTTTCATCATCTTCATCTGTCAATGAAGGATCATTATGTGGTTCTGTGTGTAACAGATCCCAGTAGAATACAGGCTTCTTTCTACAGAACAGGGGCTATCTTGGTTTTGTGTTTAGTATCCCCCACCTCCATCACTATGCCTAGGCAGTTAACAAATGCTACTTAGTTGATGTGTTGCCAAAGGATTTCATCCACATTTTTTAAATATAAAATTCTCTGACATTTTTATAAGCTCATCACTCCCAGGGTAGAAATAGCTTGAATACCTTTCTGAAAATGTGGAATATTTGAATGATGTTATAGTTCATTGTGATATTTTCTAAATTTTCTTTATGTATAAACTGTGTAAATTATTATCTCTAAAAGAGTTTGTATGGAAATGACCAGCTCCAAAACAGGCTGTAAAGTTAGCCTGGTATTTTCCCATCTATTAGCAAAAAGTAGTCACTGTAAATTAATGATCATATTTATGCCTTCTTTAGACTACATCAGCTGTAGGCGATATCCAGGGACAGCCTGAGCCAAATGCGCTATTTTGCTTGAACCAACTCAAAATTTACTCAGAGAGGCAGAATAAATGAACTTTAGTGAGTTTAGAGGTAATGAAAAAAGCACCATCTAGTGGTAGTTTTTAAAGACATTGTACAAAAAAAATTGAATTCTAAGCATCTATGTTAGAATTTTGTTTTGAAAGACAAAGATTTTGCAAATCAAGTTTTACAAATTTTCTAAGAGAAAAACAAAATAACTCATAAGCTAAAGTTTAAATTAGAACATCAAAATGACTGTAAAATTACAGTATTGTATCTACTCAAAAAGAAGAGTTTGTCTTGTTTAGATGTTAATTGAAGTATGGGTTCTCTTACTGCCATAATTTTTAATTAAAAAAATTAGATCACAGAATTGTGGATTTAGAACTGAAAGGAATCTTAGAGGTCATATAGTCCAATGTCCTCACTTTACAGTTGAGGGAACTGAAATCTGCAGTTTTTAAGCGACTCAATCAAGGCTGCAGAGGAAGAAAGTGAGTGGGTGGCAGAGTCAAGATTTAAATCTTCATCTTTTGCCTCCAAATCCAACCTCACTGCTGATGAATGTAACTTACTTTTGTGTTCTGGTACAGCTGCTCCCTGAAGTGCTATTTGTCTTATTTGGGAGAGGGGGAGGAGTTGTGGAGGCAAAGTACCATGGAGTCCAGGGCAGTGCGGATACCCAACGGAAGTGACCCATGATGTGATGCTAGCATTGGACGCAAATCTGGGTGAGATGATGCGTTGGTGCTGATAAGGAAGAGGAAAAACTGGGTTGTGGGTGGCTGGGACCCCTAAAACAGAGGTTCTTAACATTTTTGTGTCTGGTGACACCTTTTTGGCAGTCTGGTGAAACCTATGTACTCCTCCTTGGAATAATATTTTTAATGTGCATAATACATAGGATTTTACAAATGAAACCAATTATGTTGAAATATAATTATAAAAAACAAGTTCACAGACCCCAGACTAAGAATCTCTTTTAAAGGAATTAGGTAGTTTGATTTGGAAACCTGAGTCCTTTAAAGGAAACAAACATTGAGGTGCTGGATGTCTAACTCCTTAAAGGGAGAAGATCTTGGGGTCCTCAGAGAAGATCAATAGTGAAAGGCCAGGCACAGATGTCCCCGAAAAGGGTCAGTAATGGAATATCAGATGCCTGTGTTTCTAAAGGGGCATGGGCAAAGGGGCAGACACCTGAGTATTTGAAGAGGTTGGGGTTGGTCACACAGGTCCTGAAGGGAACTAGGAATGAGAAGATTACTTCCTGAATCCCTAAAGGGAACCGAGCTGTGAGAGTGGATGCCAGCGTTCCTGAAGGAAATAGACACTGGGGAGCCAGATACTTGCATTACAAGGGAAATAGCGGTTAGGGAACTCAGTACCCGGAATGTGGATTATGGCTTTGGGGAATGAAAACTTGTTTACCCATGTGTTTGCTTGTTGTCTTCCCCACTAAATTGTGAACTGCTTGAGGGCAGAGACTATCTTTTGCTTTTCTTTGTATCCTCAGCAGTGAAATAAGTACAACCAAAAGAAAAATGTGCAAAATGAGTACAACGTAAATATAAAGATAACTAAAAGGAAGACAAATTTGGAGCAATTGGGGGAAAAAAAAAGCAATACTCCAGAAGAAAACATAATAAAACATGCCCCCTAAAGGCAGGAGATGGGGAGAGGGGCAAAACCTAACATGCACTTTTCTATGTGGGCACTGTCATGTTACAGACCAGACTTAAGGCCTGGCACATAGTAGGTGCTTAATAAATGCTTATTGACTGACAATGTAGTGGATAAAGGTCTGCCTGTGAAATCAGAGACTTCACTTCAAGTCTATCCTCTGACATGGACAGAAAATTTAGTCTCTCCGTGCTCCCCGGTAATGCTCAGAAACTACCAATTATAGACAGTTGTGGTTCTTCATAAGCAGAGGGAATTTTCAACCTCCCCAGTGAAAGCAGAGATCCTTCCCACAAAAAATTGAAAACAAACATCAACAGTATATGAATCAATGTCTTCCAAGATGAGAGTGAAAGGGGGGTGGTTAGTTGGCCACAGTTTTCTGTATTGAATAGTACTTGCATTTTCTAAAAATTATCTTTTAAATGGGGCACTCAAATAAACAGGAATGAATTCTAATGCTAATTTTGAGAAATCATTATTACATGCTGGTCTGTGATAAGATTCTGAGTGGTTCAGACATATTTCATTGGCACTGTTTGTGATATATGGGATTTGACTTTTCCCTTAATTAATTTTTTACACTTTTTTTTCTTTTTGGGGGGGGGCTAGGCAATGGGGTTAAGTGACTTGCCCAGGGTCACACAGCTAGTAAGTGGTTATGTGTCTGAGGTCGGATTTGAACTCAGGTACTCCTGACTCCAGGGCCAGTGCTCTATCCACTGTGCCACCTAGCTGCCTGATTAATTAGTTACCAAAACATGTAATCTGACACAAGCATAGATTGCATCAGCAAATAGAAATTTTGTCATCAAACTAAAGGTTATGTAAACACTGTGCACATAAAATGAAGGCAAAGGTGAAACCTTTATCAAAGCAAAGACATTTATTTGATAGTCCTATGGCTACAAATGAAAAAGACATTTCAATTTGTTGTATTTTACAGTAGAACCTCATTGATTAGGACTACACTGATTCAGAATAGCAATAATCTAATTAGGGATCTGGGTTAAAGTTTAACTTTTCTCAAACCCTTTTTTCATAGAATGTAAAAATCAATTATTTAAACAAAACTTTATAAGAAATAAGAAATATAAGGAATTTAGAGAACCATAGGAAAATTTATATGAATCAATAGAGTGAAATAAATACAATTAAAAGAAAAATATACAAAATGAGTACAACAATGTAAATGAAAAGATCACAGAAAGGAAGATAAATTTGGAGCAATTAGGGGGAAAAAATCTAAAATAGTCCAGAAGAAAACATAATGAAACATGCCCCATAGAGGTAGGAGATAGGAGGGCAGAACTTAACATGTACTTTCTTATGTGAGCTCTGTCGTGTTACTGACCAGACTTATGATTTCATAGTTCTACAGTTCCTGGTGAGGAAATTCCTCTGTTGTGGTTTGTCCTTCATTTTCAAAGAGAGCCTATAATGATATGAGTCTTGACTTGCATGAGAACTGGATTTAAGTGAGGCAGAGCTGCACAACGTCATCATCAGCCTCACTCTGGCTTCCTGAGTCATCCAAGTACAGGGTCGAGACAAAAATCAAGATGACTGGCCGTGGCCCCGGATGCAGTGGATGACCTTGGCGTCTTCAGTGTCTGATCAAGTTCTAAGAATGCCACAGTGCCGGCTTCGACCACCTTTCTGGCATTGGAACTAATTGTTCCCATTTGCCTATTCCCACTGAGGGAAGTCTTCATGTGCTTAGGGTAGACACCCTAAACTCACCTATTGGTTTGAGGCCTTTTGGTTACCTTCAACCTGGTTTAGCCCATCTGGCAAGAATTCCTCTACCACCAATGAGATCAGTATCTTGTCCGCAATTTGGAGTATTGGAGATTCGCCTGAGAGCACTGAAAGACTAAAAGATTTGCTGAGCACCATGGCTAGAATGTGTCAGAGGTGGGACTTGAAGCCAGGTCTTCCAGGCCATCTCTCTTTCTATTATGCTGCGCTTCAGACACTGTTGTCAGGTAGATGCTGCTGCTGCTGGTGCTGCTGGTATTTGCTTAAGTGTTTTACTTGGTTACAAGGAAGGGTTTAATTCCAATTCTGGAATTGAGTCAGTATATATCCCAAAATGATTGTAATGTGTAAATAAAGGACAATCTTGTAACTTCTTTATTTTGGGGGAAAGGGAAAGTACTGTTTAAAACCTCAAAGCATTTCAGAACTTGACATACAAAGATTAATATTAATCTCACCTATTTATTGAACCATATTTTCTAAAGGCAACAAATCATTAGAGTAATTTGACAAATGTGAAATATGACATGGATTTAGATGAACAGCTAATCTATAGAGCTTGCCCTTCAGTAAATACATCAAGGGCAGAAAACACAAATGGACAATAAGGTGGGCCCACAGTTGAACAGGAAGGGAGTAGAAGGGATTGCCTTTGGGAAATGGCAAAGCTATTTTATGAGCCCATGACCCATGAAAGCAAAGGCCCAGCTTTTTGGTCCTAAAAATCTAATGATATTATCATTACTTCTATGTTGCAGCAAGACTTGGAATGTAACAGTCTCAAAAGACTTTAAAAACATGACACAGAGGAAAGTGGAGAAGCCTATGGTACATATTGGCAACAACATATAACCAATGAGGAACTCCAAAGAATGTTAGTAAAAGATACTAACAATGATAGGAAGAAATAATGGACTTGTCACATGGCAAGGATACCTCTCAATGCTAGGAGAAATCAAAGAAGACCTCCAGTATGTTGTTTGGACATCCTGTGGCAAATTTTTGGGAGCATGTGGTCAAGAGTTGCATGGGATGGGCAGGCATGTATTGGCAGCAATCTGAATCAGAGGGATTCCGAATTGATTAGATCACAGGCCCATTTGAAGAGTCTAAATGAAAATAATGGAATAATTCCTTTTTTTTTTTTTGGCTAGGCAATGGGGTTAAGTGACTTGCCCAGGGTCACACAGGTAGTAAGTGTTATGTGTCTGAGGTCGGATTTCAACTCAGGTCCTCCTGAATCCAGGGCCGGTGCTCTATCCACTGCGCCACCTAGCTGCCCCTTGGAATAATTCCTTTTAAAAACATATTCCATAATTTAGATTGCCTCCTTCCTCTGTCCTTCTTTTGTCCAAATGAGTGAAATTTTACTGTACAAGGGAAAGCAAATCCTCTATGGGGCACCAAAATTGCTGGTTCATAGAATCATAGATATAGAGCTAGAGGGGAACTCAAAGGACATCTAGTCCAACCCCCTAATTTTATGGATGAGGAAACTGAGGCCTACAGAGGTTAAGTGACTTGCCCAATTTAAAAGTCCATTTTAAAATTATTTTATTTTATATTACCTACATTTAGCAATACTCCAGTGGACCTGCAATTTTTTTTTACGTAGGTATTCCTTCCAGTGGTGTAAAATGCAACCTAGATACGCCTTTTTATCCTATCTAACTCCTGTTTATGTCTTCCCATAAGCCCCATGAGACCTTCATCTTCATATTTTAAGATTCTATGGGTATCAGTACAGTATTTGAGCTATTATATGTTATTACTTGCAAGGACCAGTTCATCCCCTTTTTCAGTCATAAATGTTGTGGCTTATATCTTTAACACTACTTATTGTATATAATTCATTGTAGACAAAATACTGCAACCTATAGTTTCTATAATATATGGCTCTATTGTGGACCACTAGCACTTTTGATTCCATAGATTATTGTGGCATGCCATGATTCTAGCTATATAACATTACTAGAAAAATATTCATATTAAAGGATGGATTTCTAGATTGCGCTGAGTAATGCAAAGCTAAAATATCTTCTGGTTACTAAATCTATGTACCCTTTGTTCAGAAGCAAAGGTTGAGGTTTGCATTCAACCCACGTATCAAGTCTGGGGTCACTTGCATAGCTGTTGCGTAGGGTAACCAGAATTTCTAGTGCTGCAAGTAGATTGCAGGGGTGCATACTGAGTTGCCGCTTGCTAAATTATCATCATCTGTGTTTGTCCATCTTGAGTGCATGATTAAACATCATTGATAAGAAATTAAGGGAGGAAGATGCAGACTATAGCCAGCAGGGGGCCAAGGAGTGCTGCTTTTCAAATGCATTGGGTGCTTTCCTTCTATTATTAGAAAGTCACCATATACAAAATCCTGGAAGGTGCTGGTTAAGAAGAAAGTTCTATGTAAGATGTTCTGAGATTCTGAGATATCCTTTGAAGTTTTGGAGAATCCAAGCCTAGCAGTCATCGACTTTATTAGCATATGAATAGACAGTGCTTTGATCTGTCCCGGTAGCACATTTCACAGAGACACTGATTTAGTATTGTTTATGATTCTGGCCAGGGCAGAGTACAATGGGACTAATACTTCTCTAGTTATTCACCTTCAGGATGCACTCCCAGGTTTCTTCTACCATGCCCCAACTTTTTATCCTGAAGCTCACTCAGCCTTGAAATTCGAACATGGGAAATACCCATCCACCCATTCAGCTATTCCTTCTGATTGAATGATTCCTCCCAAAACCTCCATTTAAGGAGCACAGTCGTGTCTTATTTCTCTTTAGGATGCACTCTGGATTTTCTCTATCATGCTCCCATACTTAGTACCTTTGTCTCTTTGCCGCACCTCTCCTTTCAGTCCCCTCTCCCTTTCCGCTTCCTTTATGTGTTGTCTTTCTCTGTTAGAATATAAGATCCTTGAGGTCAGAAGGTGTCTTTCTCTTATATTTATGTTTCTAGCACTTGGCACATGACCTGGTGCACAGTAAGTGCTTAATAAATGTTTGTTGACTGAATGGCCTGGTCCTGGACATTACTCTCTTATTGCAATCTGAGTCTTTTTTTTTCCCCTATTGCTATATCATACAGTTGATGAATATTGAGCTTGAAGTCCATTAAAATCCCCAGATACTTTTCAGAAAAACCACTGTCTAACCACATTTCTTCCTATCTTGTATTTGTGAGTTTTATTTTTTGAACACAGGTGTAAGATTTATCCCTATTAAATTTTTCTTTATTAGTTTCTATCCAATGTTCTAGCCTATTGAGATATTTTTGGATTCTAATTGTCAGCCAAAGTGTTATTTCCTACATTTGTGTCTTTTGCAAATTTTATAAGCAAGCTATCGATATCTTTATCCAAGTCACCAGTAAAAATGTCAGTTAGCATAGCAACAAGCAATGATCCCTAGGGCACTCCAGTGGAAAGATCACTTTCCAAGTTGACCTTTAGTCAGTCACTCAACAATATTGCATTTACAGCATTCTGCTGTAAGTACTTATGATATTGTCAGGTAGCTAGGTGGCACAGTGGATACAGTACCCACCTGAAATCAGGAAGACTTCTCTTCCTGAGTTCAAATCTGGCCTCAGACGTTTATTAACTGTGTGATCCTGGGCAAGTCACCTAACCCCATTTGCCTTAGTTTCATCATCTGTTGTAGTTCATCCTTTGTTCTTTTTTTTATTTTATAGGTAATGGGGGTTAAGTGACTTGCCCAGCTAGTGCATGTTATGTGTCTGAGGACGGATTTGAACTTAGGTACTCCTGATTCCAGGGCCGGTCATCTATCCACTGAGCCACCTAGCTGCTCTCATCCTTTGTTCTTGAAAGGGACCAATGACATCACAAGGGTGATGTTTTGACTTGAATGTAAATTGGATTGAAGTGAAGGCAGAGCTGTGCAAAGCCTCACTCTCTCCTCCAGAGTCATCAAAGTCCAGAGGTAAGACAAAAGTCGAGATGGACGCAGATGCAGTAGGTAACCTTGGCCTTTGTAAATTAAGGTCTTTCCCAGGTCTTTGTTTGTCTGAGGCAACATCCATTCAATGACTAAGAACTAGGTAAGAATTGAGACAGAAGATGGCCCAATTTACCATCACAAACATATCAATCTAAGAGGGGGAAGACCCTCAAGGTTTCTGGCCAGAACAGAAAACAATTGCTATTTACACTCAAATTAACAAAATCTAGACAATGAGCCACAGAGGCTTGGGCTGAGGGCTATTATTTGCCATTCAGTGAAAGCCAGAGTAATCTGGGTTTAGCTCCATTTGAAACACAATGGGCTTTTTTGAAAGCCTGTTTTTGCAGAGCTATATTTTAAGAAATCATTAAAAAAAATTGTACAGGACAAAAGGGTAAATCATCCCAGCTTTTAAAATAACAAATAAATTTTTAAAAAATAAGTAAATATAGTTTTTAAAAGTTCTAGCTCCCAAGCCCCAAAATATCTTACAAAATATAAGTGACTAGAAATTATATTCCTATAGACAGAGCACACACATATAAGGATATTGTACCCTAAGTGGAAAGAGGAACCTTGTGTTGGCAAGGGGAAGGTAGAAGAAGAGGAAGAAAGGAGATTAAGAGAAAGAAAGAAAACAAAAGAGAGAAATAAGGAAAGAAAGAAAAATAAATGGCAACATTCTCCACCTTCTTCTCCAATTGACCAGCTGGGTCCCCAGAGGGCAGCTACTGCTATTCTCAGGGTTCTAGAGATAACTCTCAGAGGCTGTGTTTCTTCTGCTGTAAGTCCTGAGTGCCAAATGCAGTAGTCCCCGGGGATAGTCATCTAATAGCCTCAATTAGTTTTTACCAAAAGTATTTGCTCAGATAACATCGTAAAGACAGTTACCACAAAACGTTCTCCTAAAAACCTGGTTCATTCCTTCCCACAAAAACACGCAGCATCCATGGGAGGAATAAGCTTGAGCTTAGACCATAATAATAGTGAAGCACATGTGTAGGAAATATGTGTGACAAAGGTTTAACTCACAACAGCTGCTCTGAAGGTTCTGTGTACAGACCTTATTCAGAACCCTTTGTTATTGTTGCTGTTGGTGGTGGTCCTTCATTCTCAAAGAGGACCAATGACAACACGAGAGTGATATCTTGACTTACTTATGAATTGGATTTAAGTGAGGTAAAGCAGTACAAAATCATCCTTAGCCTTACTCTCTCCTCCTTATCAAAGTCTAGTGGCAAGACAAAAGTCAAGACAACTGGAGATGGCCCAGATGCCCCACATCTGTATAAACAGTTGGAAAAGGAAATGGTAAACCACTCCAGTATCTTTGCCCAGAAAACCCCAAATAAGGTCACAAAGAGTCACACAGGACTGA